ACTCGACATATTCATAAGCAAACATGCCTAGATAGATACATACATACATACATATATATATATATTTATATATATATAAGATATATATACATTTATATATATTTAGGTTTGTAAGTAGTTTGCCAAAGGCAACAGTTGAAGAATTTTTTAAAAATATCCGAACCAAACTTGTGTCTGAGTGCGAAACACTCACAGTTTACACAAGTTTTATGCTGTGTTTAGAAATGTATGCAATTGTGGAATACTTAATAATAACGATTGTTTATCCAAAAGTTGTGTAAGTGTTTAATATAGGTATATATATATAGCAAGAGGTGTGGCTGATGATGTGATGCCGGCGCAGTACACATGGCCAAGCCTGGGAAACTCAAGTGTCATATCCTGTAATAGGAGACGTGGCATACAGTGAATTCTCTTTTTGTTGGCACAAGCAGGATGCGCGTATGTGCAAGACATAATGCGACCTGACCCTATAGCAGCTCTACCTGCACATTAGTTGCCTGGCCTGATCAGTGCAAGCTCATTGGAATGCGGGACATCTGTGTAAACAGACAGCAAGCGAGATGAGTACTGAGCGATGAGAGCTGTGAGTTGAGAGCTGAGAGATGAGAACTGATATGAATATATCTATGCATACATATGCAATTATATAAACATAATCTTAGTATTAAATGATATATTTATATATATTTATACTCTATAAGAAGCTGTTATTCATTGATTTTTTCAAGGAACATCAAAAATAAAAAGCAGCAAAAAAAATATTAAAAATATTCTTTGAATATTATTAATTAATCACAATAACAACATTAATATTAATAATATATTATATTATATATTAATATATAATATCATGATATTATTAATATGCGGTTATAACTATTCTACATTTTGTAAGTGCTTATCATTCTCTATTTTTAAGCATTACACGATCTATAATCAATGAAGTTCTTCCTATTGATAAGGTTATAAATTCATTATATATTTAATATATCAGATAATACAAAATACATAAATAAATAGATGATGAGCTAATACTTCTAAGAATCCCATAGTAAAACAAGAAAAAGACAGAGGATTGCTCTCTCTCTCTCTCTCTCGCTCGCTCTCTCTCTAACTACATCTATCTCTATCTGTCTCTCAGCCTTTTCTTTCTATCTCTCTTTTTCTCTGCATTTTCTCTCTCTCTCTCTCTCTATATATATATATAACTATAACTCTAATTCTAACTCTCTCTCTCCCTGCCTATCTGCCTCTCTCTTGCTAACTCTCTTCCTCCCTTTCTCCCCTATTCTCTATTCTAAGTAAAAACGAACAATTTTTCAATAATTAAATTTTATAGCAATGCTCTTAAGCTAGTTTTGATTCCTAGTCTAATATCTGTTTACATTGCTGTGCAGCCCTAAGCCATTTGGCTCTACAAAAAAACAGAGTTAAGTAGCTATAACTAAGTGAAGTATATACTCTACTTGCATTAACAATAACAACAAAAGAAATTTGTATAAAAACAGCAATTACTCTTACGCTGATATTGACTTAAATCTTATAGGGGAAAATGCACTTAAAAAGAGAAAAAACAAATAAGAGTTTATTCGTGGGTATTGCATGACTACGAAATACCCTGAAAGTCAAGCTAAGCTGCATTTGAAACAAGCTCTTTGACAGAATACAACTATTTAAAATTTAACTGTATTTTAAAACAACTTTTAGGTTGTAGAAATTAGCTCTACGAGATGCTAGTTTAAATAACTACACTGTGATTATATGAGTCTAAATCGATTTCCTTTCCATTGACTTCTACTAAACCATTGTAGCATAAACAGCCATTTCCAATGGGTTCAAGTTGTTAAAGAAAAAGAGAAACCAAAGACTGATAAAAAGTTCATACCTGCACCTGAGTAGAGTATAGGAAAAAGTGCATGTATAATAAATGACAAGAAGAGGCTCGCTGCATTGACCAAGCGAACGAAAAGTACTTAAAAAAAACTCAACTGAGATCGTCTGGGGCTCATTTCCTGTTTCGGTTTCTGTTTCTGTTTCGGTTTCTCGCTGCCACAGTGCAGCGTGGAATTCAGCTACTTTTTTGCTGCTGCTTCTTCTTCTTCTTGTGACTCTGCTATTCCTGTCAATAAGCGGCGGCTAGTTTCTAATTTGCCAAACAATCTTTAATGATCGTCAATAATGTCTCGCTCTCGCTCTCGCTCGCCCTCTCGCTCTACCTCTCTCTCTGACAACATGCAAATGAATGAAGTTTCCAAAAATTAATGTACAGTTAATGTATCGCTGATTTTTGTCGCTGCGGGGCTAAAAAACACACAAAATATTTTTTTTTGTTTTTGCTTTGTTGATCGTTTCATATCAATCAATTAAGCATATCTCTGATCGACCGTTAGCACTTTCTGATTGCATTTTTTATCAATGATTAACAAAAATTGTGCAAAAAAATATACAGAAAACAAATCTGTTACGACGATGTCATTACGAAATAAACACAGTTACAAACATATAACATATAGAGATATATATATATTAAGTGTATAGGAAAACACACTCTCTCCGTCAATTTTCACATTTCACGAATTATTTGTGTTTCAGAGAGTTTTGTAATTAATTGCGGTTACAGTGGGCAGCTCCGACTGAATTATATATGTACATATATTATAAACCTCGGAGATGTTGACTTGAAGATCCACATCTACAATTCGAATACGAAGGCGAACTTAACGGCTTTTCTTTAATTTTGTATAGTCTTCTGTTTGAGATGAAAAGAAAAGTTGTAGCTTCAAATAGCAAATTGGGATTTAAAATTCAATTTATTTATGCTAATGAGTTTCAAGAGGTGTATCTTGTTTTTTTATTTGATTAACACAGGCTAATAAAATTTGAGAAAATTAATTAGAAAATAATGAAACTATTCTTAATATGAAATATGAGGTATTCAAGATATTCTAATCTACATCAAGATACAATATGTATCTTTATATATGTATCTCAAAAATGGTGTTATATCCCTCTGAGAAGTCTTTTAAATGCTTAAAATATGCATAAATATATATTGAAAATTTCTTGAAAAAGAGAATTATCCCGAAGTTTTCTAATTAAGAAGTATTTATAGATATTTCGACTGTATTCAACCTACACTGAAATATCTGAAAGCCCTGATGATTTTGGGATCCTTTGGAATAATAAAGTTTGATTTTCGATGACCAAAGACTTATGTTATAAGACACTATTTTAGAATATAAACAATAAAACAAACTAAGTTAGGAATTTATTATAAGATAGTTTGATCAACATTTATTATTGATAAATATATTAAAAATAAAATCTATACCATATTTATAATTATACATTTAAATACCTTAAATGGCTTTAGCTTACCTCATATATAATTATTATTCCAGTTTAAATGGTTTCAATTAGCAAATTATTCCAATTGGAATCTAAGCAATGAGAGCTTGTTTTCCTGCTGTAGTTGTAGTTGTAGTTGTAGTTGGATCTGGTTGGAAACTGAACTTGTTATTGTATTGCCTTAATGTGGTGTATCGCGTAGGAGGCAGGAGACAAAGCTGCCAAGACGTGCCGTACTTGTTGCAACAACAACAATAGCAAAAGCAATAACAACAAAAAATCATCACGCGATTAGTTTAAGCCAAGTTAAAGCGAAACAGCCAAAGGGTATCCGACTTATGCTAGCATACATACATGCACAACCATGAGCCAGCACACATAAATACGAACTTACACACACATACAGCTTGCAGAGACAGCAAAAACTTCAAACACAAAACGACGAGAAGAAACAACGGTTAATTTGAACAAGTCGAAGGAGAGATACCCTCGCAGCACACACATTTATGAATAGATATTCATATGTATGCATGTATTTGTAAATATTATATAATATGTATATAATTTAGTGCTCTGTTCTTTTAGCTAACTTTTTACTAAAACTCATGAGTGATATTTATATTTGCCTATGACTCCTTTCTATACGCCACATAAACACCAAAGCGACCTCGGCAAGGGTATATATGATGCGAAATAAGAAAAGAAAAAAGGCATAATAAAAACAACATGAACACGCAGACAAACAACAAGAATATGTATCTTAAAACTGGTTTAAGATTTGTTGGGATTGAAGTTGGTTACTTCGATGCTTCTGCTCAGGTTCAGTTCAGGCTTCAGTTTGTGTACCACATGTATATGTATGTATGTGTGTATACAAACATATACACACACCATGCACACATGTGTGTGTACAAACAATCGAGTTTTTACATACAAACAGAGAAGTTTGTACTTTCGAATAGTCGAAGATCGAATTCTATTCTCTGTTACTATTTTCTTCGAAGTGCGAATATAATTTGCATTCGCATTTGCCTATTACAAAGTAGTTGTGGTTGTTGTTGTTTTTTCACACTGTATTAAGACGAACAACTGTTGCTTCTGCGTTGCACTGGGAACGTGGGCAAATCGAATCACAACAATGACAATTGACGTTGACCGGTTGATGTATCGTTTTTGAAGACAACAATTTTCGTGGACTATTATTTAATATACTATACATATATCTCACGATTATATTTATATTTATTACCGGCGCAATGACGGCAACCGCTAAGAATGTGCACAGCGGTTTTTTGCTATTTATATTTTACATTGCAATTTACAAAGTAAAGCTTCAACTTCGGCCTTGTTTATACTTTGAAATTATTTACTTCTTCCAAAGTCGCGATACGCTTACACTCCGACGCCACTCAGCCGACCCGACCGCTTCGAAAACAAATTTTACAATAACAAAATCAAACTGTTAGCGCTGCAGCAGCAGTTCGTAATTCAACAGAGAACTGCGCTGTTATTTATCAGAAATCATATTGCTATCGATATACGATAACTTGTTTGTTACGCTACGCTGTTAGCTAACATGTTTTTGTTAGGTTTTATCCGCAGTTGTTGATAACATAAAGTTTTAAATAAAAGTTTAAAGATCTATTAAAAAATGCCTAAGCTAAAATATATAAAGTGTTGTAAATGCAGCATGGAAAAACGTCTAGGATCTGTAAATTATAATATATATACAAATTTAAAAGCATTAATGAAAAGAAATGTTTTTAAGCTAAATTATAAAGAGATATTTCCTTTTACTCATTAACAATATAATGCCCATTTCACCCAATTACTTCCACCTTATCTCTTTGCTTATCAGCAAGATATCATCTAAACTGACATTTGTTTTTATAGCGAACTCTTTTAAAGATTAGGGCTTCTTTTCAGTTATCTACTGGCAGTTGCAATGAACACACGTAAACTTTCAACGCATGTGCTGAACACATCCACTGGAAAGGCAGCTTCCAACATTAAGGTCACAGTTTATCGCCTTAATGAATCTCAGGAATGGATTGCAATCAAACCGGCAAAAACGAATACAGATGGACGCTGTCAATTGTTGGAACAAGCTAATTTTACCAGTGGCATCTATAAGTTAACATTTCAAGTGGGCTCATATTTTGCTGAGCAAAATATAAAAACCTTTTATCCAGCTATAGATATTATTGTAGATTGTTGTGAAGCTCAAAGCTATCATATTCCGCTCTTAATTAGTCCCTTTGGCTATAGCACTTATCGTGGAACATAGATTTAATAAATATCAATAAATAAAAAAAAATAAAAAACCTATTTTACTTTCTTATTTTGAATTTTGATATTTTTTCGTTTAAAATTCGTTGCAATTTTAAAAAAAATCGATTACTAACGATTTATTTGGCTTGTTCGAATGCAATTTGGCCACTCTATTTTGCGCAGCGTGACCAGCTTTGTTTGGCTGTGGCGTAATTTAGTGTAAAATTTGTACTTGGCTCGTGCACGTGCTTAACCAGCGCTCTTAGCTTTTAAAACAACACGGATTTACTTTTGTTGTTTATAACAATATAACAATGACGGAAGCCGGTGATGGTCCAGTGGAGCCAAGCATAGACTTTGTGCCAGCCCTCTGTTTTGTGCCACGCGGCGTCACCAAAGAGAGACCAGAGAAAATTGTCCTAACACAGTCAGAGCTTGCGCGAATTATTGGCGAAACTCGAGATCAGTTGCATGGAGACGATGATGATGATGACGACGATGATGATGATGATGAGAACGAGGAGAACATGGATGTTGACCGTGACGATGGCGCCGCTGCCAGCGCTAACAATGATGATGACGAATTCAATTTCGATAATTATGAAAATGAACAAAACTCAACTGTAACAAATATTGCGAATGTTGTCGACGCCGACGAACAGGTGCCCGATGAGGATGAAGATTCAGAGGCTGAGGATGAGGTGATCAAGCCAACAGATAATTTGGTGTTAGTCGGGCACGTGCAAGACGACGCAGCCAGCATGGAAGTCTGGGTGTTCAACCAGGAGGAGCAGGCTCTCTACACACATCATGACTTTCTGCTGCCAAGTTTTCCACTTTGCATCGAGTGGATGAATCACGACGCAGGCAGCGACAAGCCAGGCAATATGTGCGCCATCGGCTGCATGGACCCAATTATCACGATCTGGGATCTGGATATACAGGACTCCATAGAGCCGACATTCAAGCTTGGCTCCAAGGGCAATCGCAAGAAACAGAAGGAACAGTATGGCCACACAGACGCTGTACTCGACCTATCGTGGAATCCCCAGTTCGAGCACATCCTAGCGAGTGGTTCAGTGGATCAAACGCTGATACTTTGGGACATGGACGAGGGTCAGCCACATACCATAATTACCGCCTTCGAGGAGAAGGTGCAGACCATAGAATTCCATCCAGAGGAAGCGCAGAGCATACTCACAGGCTGCTCTGATGGCTTGGTGCGTTTGTTCGACTGTCGCGATGCTGAGAATGTGAACACGGCATTTGTCAAGTGGCAGATCAGCGGCGAGGTGGAGAAAGTCCTTTGGCATCCAACAGAAACGAACTACTTCATCATTGGCACCAACGATGGCAGCTTACACTATGCCGACAAGCGACAGCCCAACAAGCTGCTGTGGTCCGTTAAGGCGCACAACGAGGAGATCTCTGGCGTCTGCTTCAACAAGGAAATGCCCAACCTGTTGACCTCCACCTCAACGGAGGGCACGCTCAAAATCTGGAATTTCAATAGCAGCGAACCAAAGCATGTCTTCGAGCACGATTTCAATATGGGCCGTCTGCAGTGCATGCGACAGTGTCCAGAAGATCCCTACACGCTGGCCTTTGGTGGTGAGAAGCCGCCGCGCTGCTCTGTGTTCAATATCAAGAATTTTGAGGCAGTGCGTCGCACCTTTGGCATACCCGATGCTGAATAAAATGCAATTGACTTCAATTATGTATAACAAACCTAACGATAATAAAGTTATATGTATATTAAACATATAAACAAAACGAAAACTTAGCTTTTTAAATGGATTATTGATTACATATCCACATACAACTCACACATAGATAGCATCTCTAAAGCAACTCTATTTCACTTCGTGCCGCTGCTCTTACGCGCTCTCAACGAGGCTTCCAAACTCGAAGAAACCAAAGGCATAGTGGGCTCGAGGAGATGTCCAATGCTATGTACTATTTCAATTTGTTTGCTCTCATTACTCTCTCAAAGGCACAAGCCCTTTTACATGTATTGTTGCGCCTGTTGCGTAAACTCTCTTCTGATTTTCTGTTCTCTGCATGCTGACTGGTGCATATGTGCTGCATAAGTCATTATACATGTATTAACATTGTTGAGCCTGTATGCGTAAGCTCATCTGCTTTCCTGCTTCTGCTTCCTTGTCAATGCATTAGCGTTTTTCTGTCTTACGTATGTAAGCTTATATGCTCTCTGCCTGCTGACTGGCGCATCTGCATTAATATTATTGCTCCTATGCTCTTCTGCTCTTCTGCTCTTCTGCTCTTCTGCTCTTCTGCTCTTCTGCTCTTCTGCTCTTCTGCTCTTCTGCTCTTCTGCTCTTCTGCTCTTCTGCTCTTCTGCTCCATTGTATAAGTATTAGCGATGTTCCGTTTTACATACGTAAGATTATCTGCTCTCTGCCTTCTGTACAAGTCGTTTATATGTATTAACATTGTTGCGCTTGTATGCGTAAGTTGTTCTGCTCCCTTATGCATGTTGTTCCGCCTGTATGCGTAAGCTCATCTGCTCTCCTGCTTCTGCTTCCTTGTACATGTTCCGTCTTACGAATCTAAGCTTATATGCTCTCTGCCTGCTGACTGGTGCATGTAATCTGCATTAATATTGTTGCTCCTGTATGTGTAAGCTCTTCTGCTCTTCTGCTCTTCTACTCCCTTGTAAACGTATTAGCATTGTGCCGCCTGTATGTGTAAGCTCCACTGCTGACTGCATAGTGACTGGTGCAACTGCCATAACTTAGTAGAGAGCACCAGAGAGAGACCTCCATAAACAGCTTGCAGCTTACTTCTATGCTTATGTTATTATTGTTTACATTATTATGAACATTATATATGTAGGTACATAGATTATTATTTCATAGTTAGCCTAAATGTTATAATTATATTAATAATATTATTGCTACAATTATTATAAACAATTTCTTAAAATTATTAACTATTACAATGCAGCTTAGAATAAAATTATTAACTATTACAATGCAGCTTAAAATAATACTTAATATTATTTACTATATTTAACCAAATAACTACCACACACACTGCACTGCACTGCACTGGACGACTGACCCACCAGCAGGTCAGACGAGCAACTGAAGCTGCGCTGCAGCAGGCCCCCCTTATATAGGCGGGCGACATTCCAACTCCAACTCCAACTCCAACTCCAACTCGAACTCAAACTTAACGCTTGAGCCTTTCTCTGAATAGCACTCGCGCTTGTTGAGTGACATATAGCAGTGCTTGCATTTTTTAAATACACACACACACACATACCATAGCTCTCTTGTACAATTATTCTTCTTCTTCCATAGAATTGCCATGATATATGCCCAATCTATATAAAATATTCGAACACACAGACTGTTAGGATCAGCTGATCGCACTCAGCCGTGTCACGGCTCCTTCCACCTGTTACATACATTTGCACAAAACTAATCAAATCACAATCAATAAATAGTTGGAAAAAAAGAAAGATATATTTATAAAGCAGTCACACATACAGACTTAATTATATAGTTATAAATCAACGTCTTTAAAAACTATGTTTATCTTAGAGGCAAATCGCATCAGTTACAAAATTCCAATTTTCCGGCAAATATTGTGACTGCTTGGCTTAGAAGAGAGTTAAAAATATATTTGAGGATCCGATATGATGGGGAACTAACTCTTAAAGAGGCCGACGCACATTAGGAGATTGCGACGCGTGAAGTGCAGCGCCACAAAGGGCGAATTCTTGCTGGGAAACGTGCGCAGCAGATAAACATCCTCATCGTTCTCGTCCTGATGATGTGACACGGTGATCTGATTGCTCAGATAATCATCTGTGAGCTTGTGGAAGTCCCACAGCGTTAGATTGTTATCCAAGCCGGCAGCTGCGAGCAAGGTGCCATCCCGGCTGAAGGTAATCGTGGACACTGTACTCGTGTGCCTTAACAGCGTGGTGACCAGTGAGCCGTTGGAGAGATCCCAGATGATGATGTTGTGATCAACCGAACCGGAAGCCAAGTAACGTCCGCAGATGGAGAATGCGAGGGAGCTCACGGTGCCCTTGTGTCCGGTCATCAGGCGCACGGATTGGCCAGTTAGTACATCCCAAAGACGCACAGTGCGATCGCTAGAGCCGGTGGCCACATAATTGGAATTGGGATGAAATTGCACGCAGTCCACGTCGGATAAATGCCCGACAAATACGCGCAGCGACTGGTTCGAATCTGTTGCCCAGAGACGTGCGGTCTTGTCATAAGAGCATGATACAAAATAGTAACCGTGCGGCGCAAAGCGAACATCCCACACCGGATAGACGTGACCACGGTAGGTGACCACACACGACCAGGTTAGCAGAGACCATAGCCGAATGGTGCTATCCTCCGAGCAAGAGAGCAACAGGTTCATCTCGGGCGCAAAAGCACAACGATAAACGGGACCCGTGTGCCCCAAGAAGGAGCGCGTCATCTCGCCGCTTCGCTCGTCTAACATGCGGGCATTGATATCGGACGATTCCTTGTCCAGTTCTCGTAGCGCGTCGGCTTCTTTCAGAGCACGCAGCTTGACTGGCGTCAACGACCAAATACGCACTGTCGAGTCCCCGAAACCGCAGGCGAGCATTGTGGAGTCATCGGATATCTCTGCACAAGTGACTCCCTGCATGGAATTCAGTATTGTATAGAATACGGCAGAGGGCAACTGATCCTTGTTGAGTGGCAAGCGTTTGCTAGCCTCACGCAGCGCCTTGAGCTTAAGCAGTTTGTCCGCATCCTTTAGCTCCGGCAGTGGAATGCGATCTATGGCTGGTGCATTGGGATCCGACTTTGATTTCTTTGATAGCAACGGATCTTTTTTGGGCTTCTTCTTTTTGGGTCGATCTGGTGCATCCGGATCATCGTCCTCCTCCTCGGGCGCTGGCGCCGGCGTGGTAAGCGTCTGAAAGTCAACCTCCTTGAGCAGGCCGTAGTAGACGCGGATTTTGTTGTCCTGACGCTTCGCATCGCCAATGTGCGAGCCAGCCGTTGCCACACATTGCAACTTGTTGCGAGCCATACCCTCGTAGGTATCAAAATGTAGATACTTGGACACTATATCGGCGACAACCTCCTGCCGGCGATCTTGAATGTGTCGCTTGAACAACGAATGCGCATCTCGCGACATGCGTATCACGAACTTGTCGGTCTCCATGGCGCTCACAAGATCGTTATCCAGCAGCTCCTCTGGCTTCGATATCATCAACAAATTGAACAGACCTTCGATGTAGTAGCCATCGAGATCGGATTTATACTTTTCAATAAACCCACGCGCCTTTTCAACTTGCCCGCTGGCAAGTATTTTAAAATAGATCTGTACCAGTATGGGATAGAGCACCATGGATAGTTCATGCTTATAAATGTCCAAGGATTCCTCTACAAATGTTCGCAACTCCTCATACGCCTGCTCATATTGTTGGGCATCAAAGGCATCGTCGCCGATGAACTTTGCCAACGCCTCGGCGGCGTTCGCTTCAGTTACCGCCTTCGACTCGTTGGATGTTGCAGCTTGTGCCGGCGCAGTCTGACGATTGGGCTGCTCATCAGCCAAAGTCAATGCGGCGCTAAGCACAGCCTTAACATCTCCATCGCAGATTGTGGATAAATCTGCACTGCTGACATTTGCCTCTTGGCAGAGTAGTTCCTCTGTTCCTTTTAATTGGTATTTTTTAAGAAGTTTGAGCAAACAAAGCAGCTCTCGCTTGTCTTGTGTATGTGTTTGACTATCATTGGCATTGCCACCATTTATGTTTGTTACTTCTAAACTCATTATTAAATGAAATAAAAACTATATTTCACTGTTTGTGTTTGTTTTGGTAATATTGATATCGATATCAGTTGGACTATGCAATGCGCACAGGGATGGCCCTCTGATTATCGATAAGCTGCATTTTAGTATTTTTTATTATTGTGCAACACTAAACAACTCAACCATGCCTTGAGCGAGAAATATTTATAAATTAATATAAATAAATTCAGAATTTAAAAGAAATTTATGACTAAAAACTTTAAATAGACTTTTAAAGCTGTAACGTATTGCGTTAGAAGGTATTTAAAACAGAAACTTGGGAGAGTCATGAAGAAAAGAGTTATCATAAAGAAGGTACGTAATCATAATATATTTTCTATTAATAATACAATTTGTAAAACTTGTGGCATTATTAACTTCATTTAGTATTAACAACAGCTATTTTCAGAATAACTGTGTGCGTATATGTTGTACCTGTGATCCCAATCCCAAGCATTTAGACTTTGCCTGCCAAAAAGTAACCTTTGTATTTTATGTCTTCGCACAATGAGCGATGTTGATTTTGTTGTGGTAGGTTGAAATATTTATCTCTCTGATTTGAACGAAATTAATACGGCAACCTTTGGCCTTCACAGAAAAAAGTTGGCCTCAAGTCAACCAAATCCATTGATAATGATGCAGCCACGACTGCCGAAACACGATACAGTTTCACAGGGCGAATGCTGGAGCTGATCGAGGCATATAATGCAACGATGCAATTGCTGGTGCCAAGGTGGCCATGGTTCTTCTACCCTGGCTATTTGATTTATGCTGTATATTGGCGCTATGCCAAATACTACAGGGGCAAGTTTTTGCTTACCCCAATGCCCAATCAGCTCTACGAGCTGCTGATCAAGAACGAGCTGATCAAATCGGAGCACATCATCTTTGCCAGCAAAGATATTTACGATGCTTACGCTGAATCGACTGATGTGAACTTTGTCAATTTGATTGTGCGTGGAGCGTGGAGCAGGACCAATCCTAAAAGTAGCTCCGTTCGCAGCTGGGATAGCTCCGAAGTGGTCAAGCAAATCCTACAGGATGCGCCATATACAATCGTAGCACAAATATTGCCTATAGAAAATGCAGAATGCCAGGCCAATTGCCTGTATATAAAGGTAAATATTATATAGAATATAATATATCGAAATAGACTTATATTGTTATTTTTAGGAAAACTTTTATGGCAACCTTATGGAGCGCATCGGCAACAGCAAGAAGCACAACAACTGCTGGGTACAGCTCGATTCCTTTAACGATGAACAGGCAGTACCAACAATTGCCACCAAAGCCCAAGTCTATCTGCTCAACAATCCACATGAGCTGCCAGTTGAAGTTTCAGAGCTGATATTAACCAACTATTTCAATACGCCACGCATGCTGCATCGTGGCCACATCTATCGCATCGAAGTGAATGCCCAATTGGTGGGCACAGCTGCCTTTGCCCATTATTATTTAATATTCGCTTATTTGCGTGAAGTCTACTTCCGTTGTGTTCACCTGGAGACGAAAGGCAGCGACTTCGAGCTGCAGGCAGTCGTTGCTAAGAACTTCAGCAATTTGGTGCAAGTGCCACATGTGCACAGCTTCTTGCCGCGTCAAAGTCTGGATAGCTTCGCCATAGCTCACAATTATCCGAGTGGCTTGCGTAAGCCCTATCAGATGCTGCGCTCTTCGGTGGATGCATTTTTGCCAAAGCGCTCTGCGTGCCTATCATCGAAACACATCTTTCCGGTCTTCCTGCTGCAGGGCGATCGCGGCTCTGGCAAGACGAAGCTCATCACTGCCGTTGCTCAGGAACTGGGCATGCATCTATATGGAGCAGACTGTGCTGAAATTGTGTCACAAGTTCCATCGCACACAGAGATGAAGCTCAAGGCGGTGTTTGCTAAGAGTCAGGTCAGCGAGCCGCTGATCATCTGCTTCCACAACTTTGAGGTAAAGTCGAATAGGTTTATCGTATAATATAAAAATGTACAATAGTTATCTTAACTTTTTAGATCTTTGGCATTGACAACGAAGGCAATGAGGATCTTCGCTTACTGTCCGCCTTTCATGTCCAGATCCAAGAGTTGTTTACACGCGACCGCAAATACCCTGTCGTTGTTGTTGCCTTGACCAGTGACAGACATCTTAAGCCGATGATACAGAGCCTTTTCCTGGAGATAATCAATATTGAAGCACCCAATCAAGCGGAGCGTTTCGAGCTGTTGAAGTGGATGCACGTGCGAGAATCATTCAACGATGCCATTTACAACCAAAAGGCCTTGGCTAAGCTGCCGCTCTACCCACTCAACATGCAATCCCAATACTTGAGCAGACTGTGCCCCCAATGGCGAGTTATAAAGAATGTATTGGATGAAGTTGCGGCCAAGTCGCAGGGATTTATGTTGGGTGATCTGCAGCTGCTTTACGATAATGCCGTTCGGCTTAAACGTCGGCAGTCATCAAGCAGACAAGCACCTCTGACGCTAGATCACTTCTCTAAAAATCTTAACGAGATGCAGAGTTCGTTTGCTGACAGTTTGGGCGCACCGAAGGTGCCTAAGGTATACTGGTCCGATATTGGAGGTCTATATAAGCTGAAGGATGAGATTCAAAGCAGCATTGGACTGCCGCTGAAGCACGTTCATCTAATGGGCAAAAACTTACGGCGCTCTGGCATACTGCTTTATGGGCCACCAGGCACTGGCAAGACTTTGGTCGCCAAGGCGGTGGCCACCGAATGCAATCTGAGTTTTCTCTCTGTTCAGGGTCCCGAGCTGCTCAACATGTACGTGGGTCAAAGCGAGCAGAATGTGCGCGAGGTATTCACGCGGGCGCGTTCCGCTGCACCCTGTGTCCTGTTTTTGGATGAACTGGACTCGTTGGCGCCAAATCGCGGCGTAGCTGGCGACTCGGGCGGCGTGATGGATCGCGTTGTATCCCAACTATTGGCCGAGATGGACGGCATGTCCAGTGGCGATGCGACAAAGCCCATTTTTATACTCGCTGCCACAAATCGTCCAGATCTAATTGATCCCGCGCTACTTCGACCCGGACGCTTCGATAAACTCTTCTATGTCGGCCCGTGCTCTACGCCCGATGACAAGGCAGCTGTTCTGCGCGCACAAACACAACGATTCAAGCTGTCGGACAACGTGGACTTGACCAAGATTGCCGAGAGTCTGAAGAGTGAAATGAGCGGCGCAGATCTCTACTCCATTTGCTCCAACGCATGGCTATCGGCAGTTAGACGCATCATTGGCAAACATTTGAGTTGCGGCCTCTCGGCCAAGGAGTTGAATGCTGAACACATTATCGTCGAGTCGGAGGACTTTACGACGTCCTTCGACAAGTTTGTGCCTTCAATTAGCCAAAGTGATTTAGAATATTTCAGGAACCTGAAGGAAACATATAGTGTTTGATTGTTAAACTATTTTTTATATTTATTGAGTTTTTGTTAAAATTTTGTAAATAACTTTTAAAACAATTAAAGTTTGTTGAAAAAACTAGACATATTATTATTATACTATATATATAGTATAGGTACAATGGAATCTTACGATTTTTAAAATTATCTTTATACAAATTATGACCAAAAAGTCAAAAAATTTAAATAAGTGTGAACGCAAGCGTTATCAGTGAACTTTATTGACTTAGAACTGTCCTAACATTTGCCCATTCATTTGGTCATAGCACTAAGGGGTATATTCGTTTGAATATATATATATATATATATATATATATACAGTTAAGTAGCATGCGTGAAACAGCAGTCTTTCTATCGAGTGTAAAAACAGACTCATAGAAAGACTGAAGAGTTGAGCTCAAGTTAAGCCCGAGTTGAGCTCGACTCAAAGCTCGAGTTTCGCTCGAATTCGCTTGAGTCGAGCTCGAGTTTCACTCGAATTCGCTTGAGTTGAGCTCGATTTTCGCTTGAGTCGAGCTCGAGTTTCGCTTGAGTCGAGCTCGAGTTTTGCTTGAGTCGAGCTCGAGTTTCGCTTGAGTCGAGCTCGAGTTTTGCTTGAGCCGAGCTCGAGTTTCCGTTTGAGTTGAGCTCGAGTTTCGCTTGAGTCGAGCTCGAGTTGGAGTTAGAATGTCGCCCGCCTATAAAAGGAAGGCCTGCTGCAGCGCTACTTCAGTTGCTTGCCGGACCCACTGGTGGGTCAGTCTTTCAGTGCAGTGCAGTGCGGTGCTCCTCTATTTCTGCTGTGTGTGGTAAGTTTTTAAATAGTTAATAATATTAAGTATTATATTTAATCGAATTGTAATAGTTATATTTATAATATTAAGAAATTGTTAATAACAATTAAAGTTAAATTGTAATAGTTATATTTTTGATTTTAAGAAATTGTTAATAACAATTAAAGATAAATTGAACTAGTTATATTTATAATTTTAAGAAATTGTTAACAATTAAATTGTAAGAGTTACATTTTTAATTTTAAGCAATTGTTAAAAATAAATAGGCTGAAATAGCTATATTTATAATTTTAAGAAATTGTTAATAACAATTAAATTGTAAGAGTTACATTTTTAATTTTAAGCAATTGTTAAAAATAAATAGGCTGAAATAGCTATATTTATAATTTTAAGAAATTGTTAATAACAATTAAATATAAATTGAACTAGTTATATTTATAATTTTAAGAAATTGTTAATAAGAATTAAAGTTAAATTTATAACTTTAAGAAATTGTTAATAACTAGTAAAGTTAAATTTTATAATTTTAAGGAATTGTTAATAATAATCATAATAATATTATAGTTTTCTCACTCTGATAATGATCATTAGGGTTACGCTCTTCAATAATATAATCTCTACTTAAGCAAATTATTACTAAGTATGTGACGTTAATGATAACTATGATATGATGATGCTATATGTACCTATATACATACACATATCATAGCAAAATCAACACTATATAACATAAGCATACAATTTAAGTGGAATATTTAAGAGAATCATAAGGAACGCGCTTAATATGTTAACCATAATGATAATTATGGATTTTAAGTGTTACTAGAAGACTAAGGAGTCAGCTGAAATCGCAATCAAGTGGAATTTCTCAGACGACTACTCAGTTCCTTGGCATAGTGCAGCTCTCCGCTGGGTATCGAAGGGCATGTTGCTGTCGACTAGCATCATCTTTGTGCATCTGAATGATCCGTGCACAGCGTAAATTGTGTGTTTATTTTAGGTTTCAGTTATCAGCTGCTGCTAGTCGATTATCACGACGTCATAAAAGCCGTTGATACCACCAGCTAGACTTTCAGATTTGAGATTTAGTCTAGCGAGAGCTGCTACACGGATTTCATCTCCAATTGTACTCCTATTGGAAGTTATACTCAGTTGAGCGGATATCTTATTGGAAATCACATTAAGTCGTGAAAGAGGTGCTGCTATTCAAAGACTTTATTCTTATTAGAACGTAGATTCATTCCGACAAAAGCTGATTCCGAATTCAACTCTAAGTGTATTTGCATCGAGATTCTGATTCGCATATTAATTTGTTACATAAGTACGAACTGAAACATGGAGCTAGTGTGTGTAGAGGATTTTGAGAAAGAGGCTTTCACCAAGCTGGAGAAAAATGCCTTAGACTACTATCGAAGCGGAGCAGGAGAACAGTTCTCACTTGGACTAAATCGAGAGGCATTCAAAAGGTTGGCAAACCTTCAATTAATCTTTAATTTAGATCAGATCTAACTTTTGTTCAATGACAGATTGCGTCTACGTCCACGATTTCTGCGCGATGTCTCTCATCTTGATATTAGCTGTGAGTTTCTTGGACAGCAGCATAAGTGGCCGGTGGGCATCGCCCCGACAGCTATGCAGAAGATGGCGCATCCAGATGGCGAGATAGGCAATGCACGCGCCGCTGGCAAAGCAGGTTCCATATACATTCTGAGCACACTTTCCACCACATCGCTGGAGGATTTGTCGGCTGGAGCACCCGATACATGCAAATGGTTTCAGCTCTATATCTATAAAGATCGGTAGGTCAACTCCTTTTCAGCTGCAAGAAGCAAGCGCTCACATTCAAATAACTGCACTTTTGTATCGGTTGTAATCGATATTGGAAAAGTCTATCGATGATTTCAAAACAATTTGAATGTGCGCTAGCGCCATTTAAAGCAGAGCTTAACAAACTATTATCATTTACAGATCACTTACCGAGAAACTCGTGCGTCGCGCTGAAAAGGCAAATTTCCAGGCCCTTGTTTTAACAGTTGATGCTCCCATATTTGGCCACCGGCGCTCCGATGTGCGTAACAAATTCAGTTTGCCATCGCATCTGAGTTTGGCGAACTTCCAAGGGGAGCAGGCGAATGGTGTGATCACAATGGGGGGCTCAGGCATAAACGAATACGTGGCTAGCCAATTTGATGCCAGCATCACGTGGAAGGACATTGGTTGGCTTAAGCAGCTAACACACCTGCCCATCATTGCTAAGGGCGTGCTAACCGCAGAGGATGCCGTCTTGGCTAAGGAATTCGGCTGTGCTGGCGTAATTGTCTCCAATCATGGCGCCCGGCAAATTGATACTGTGCCAGCGTCCATAGAAGCATTGCCTGAGGTGGCAAAAGCTGTGGGCAACGATTTGGTTGTAATGTTAGATGGCGGCATTATGCAGGGAAATGATATATTCAAGGCGTTGGCGCTCGGTGCCAAGACCGTTTTCATAGGCCGTCCGGCAGTCTATGGTCTGGCCTATAATGGGCAGAGCGGTGTCGAGCAATTGCTGAGTGTATTACGAAAAGATTTTGAAATCACGATGGCCTTGACAGGTTGCCAAACTTTGAAAGACATCCAATCGGGAATGGTGGTGCATGAGTCTTTCTATTCAAAATTATAATCTCAATTCAATCAGAACACTGAACTACCAAAGGTAAGAACGTACTCCAGAATAATAAAATTTACGAAAAATAAACATTAATATATACACAATATTAAGACGGTTAAGAATTATTTAATTTTCAACCAACTGGCAAAATAATCGCTTGACTATATCGATACATTAGTTTTGCTAATATGTACATTAATCGCATATGCAGTATTTAAATACCCACCTATCGATATACAACCAAAAACAGCTGTGAAAGGCTACAAAGAAAGTTGCTGTTTGAGAAGGAATGAAATTGTTGTCTAAAACATTGCAATTAAGAAAATATATATAAAATGCAACGCGAAGAGAAGCACTTTGAGATGACGCTGGACGCAGTGGTGCAGCGTCTCAACGACTTAAAGTTGGCGGTGCTCTCCATGATACAAAAACTGGAAATGGAGTATATGGACATCAATTGGCCAACTTTTCTGGATAACTTTGCCATCATATCAAGTCATCTGACGAGTTTGACTAAGATTCTGGCCAAGGAGCAGTGTCCTCCGCTTCGAAATCGCACTGTGCTACCGCTGCTAGTTTCCATGGATCGCGACGAAACGCTGGTTAATATCACAGAAGGTCGTGTGCCGGTGTTTTCGCACGATATCGTGCCGGATTATCTGCGAACGAGACCCGATCCCATTACTGAGCAGAAGATGCAGCAAAACGAACAGAAGGCGGCAAATCTAACCAACGAGGCGGCTATGAAACAAGTGACACAGTACAACAAGGTTGTATCTCACGTATTAGATATGGTGAGCAAAGCGCGCGAAGAATGGGAGATTGAATCCAGCTCACGTACAGGCATACAGCAGACAAGCAGCATGACAGACACCCAGCTGCTCGTTGCAACAGTGGGCATGGGCAAGGGACTGCAATACAAAGCAAACTATGGACCAGGGCCTGGTCCTGGCATGATGGTGCCGCCATCAATACGCGGGCCCACCCCACCCATGGGCGGCCCATCCATGAGTCCGGGCAATGTACAACAGCAGCTAGGCAAGGCGCCATCGGCCGTGAAAACCAACATCAAGTCAGCGAACCAAGTACATCCATTCTCTCGGTAGCAAAATATCATAATTTATTGTTGCGCTTTGCTCTTGAATACAACTCAGTAACATAATAATAGATATACATATGCTTAGATACTAGAATTTCGGAATGTTGGCTCTCATAAATATATATATATATATATTTGTATATTTATATGTATATGTATATGTTTATAATAGCTGTAGGCCACATATAATTTAAACAAATAAACGTAAACAAAACAAATGAGTTGTAAGTTGAGGAAGATCGTTATAGATTATGGTGCCGGCAGCGCATGTTTCTCGCTTATTAGTGTTTCGTGCACTTTAATATCCTGCGGCGTTGAGGTATCAATCAGCTCCAAGCTAAGCGCACGCCGCTCATCCTTCAGCTTGTCTACGCGTCTCACAATGCCAATGAATTTCTGGCCCAACGTAAGCTTGCGGAATCGCGCGCAATTCTCCTGCGTCCACTCGATGCCCGTCAGTTGAATACCTGCACCAATAGAAGGTGACTGAGAAGTGAACAAATATATAGATAGTGTTACTCACCATGGAGCTGTGCCGGTAAAGCCATCATGGGTAGCTCCCTGAACTCTGGTGTGAGGTGCAACAACTGGTTGCAGCGCACAACACCATCGTCGCCTGCGTCCACATACCGAACGTGTATCATTTCATCGTAAATCTTTCGAATATTTACGCTGCAAGTGAAAAGGGAGTTGCATTTTCGCCGTTGGCTAATCAATTACTAAGCAACTCACCGATGATACAAGCCATCGGTATCTGCCACAGCGTAGGGCTGGCCAATGCTCAGTTGTGCTGGCAACACACTCTGTGCTGATGGGCTCTTGCAATGGACTTGCAACTCCTTCATCAGACGCTGAAACTGATTATAGCACTTGTATGGCTGCACCTGTTAGAGGAAGAGAGCAGATTAACTGGATGGAAGACATAAATGAGTTAGGACTTACTGCAAAGTGGCTAGGATTCACAGAGAGCACTACACGCACCTCAAAATAGGCACCGAGAGCGGGTATGGCCTCGTACTCTTTAAGAATGGGCAGAAGAGAGTTGCCCTTCGCCTTGCTGGGCGTTGTTGGCGGTGAGGCAAGGCCAACTGCTGCTGACGGCTGATCGCTGCAGCTGCTCTGGCTGGACACCGTGGAGCTGAAGCTGCTGCGACGAATCAGCTGACCGCTAGGACTAAAGTGCAGGCCGCCGTCATCGAACGGTTCCAGCCGCGTCGTACTAAGAGACAAGGGCAAAGTTGCAAAGGAACGTGGCAGGTGGCAGGTCGCAATTGGAAATTGAATGGGGTTGTGGATAGGTAAAAGTGTAATTGGGCAACACAAGGCACATTGGTAACATATGAAAAGTCTATTTCGGCTTTTTGGCAGTACAGTAGTTATTATTACAGATATTCAAATGTATGTAACCCTTTTATCTTTTTTTTTTTTAGTAAATTTATGTACATTGATGGATAATGAATCTTAAAGCTAAGCACTGGTGAGCGAACGAACGAAGGTTAGCTTACGGGATGCTGTGAGTTGGTTGAAGGAGTCGTTAATGTTGAGATAATTTTGTAGCGATAGAGTTTCATGTCAGTTCCAGTTTATTGAAAGCACTAATTAGAAACTATCATTAAACCACAGAAGAGCAAAACAAGTTTGTGCGTGTGCATGTGTGTGAGTATGTGGGCATGGGTGTGCGTAGGTGTGTGTGTGCAGATGTAAGAATGATTTGTATGAGTAGAAGCTGTGAGCAGAGTCTCAACTTACCTCTGCACTTCATATTCGACCCGAATCGCACTGTTCAAGCACAAATACAGACTATCCTGACCGCGTGCATGAATTGTGACCATTGGCAGCTTATCGTTGGCGCCCTCCATTACCTTCAGCTGTAGATCAAACAGAGTTTTAGAATTTTATTAGCTGATTACTTGACATTCACTTACCAGTACTGGCGTCTGCGGCGACAGCAGTCCGCGTAGTCGTCCCACCATTTGGTTATCAATTGGCGGCACATCGTGCAGACGCACCCGCAAAGCTTGCGCTGGATACGAGGCAAGCGCTAGATTGTTCGCCTCCAGACGATAAATATTGGAGATGTGCGTTTTGCGCAGTCGTCCATCATCAACGTAATACACATCAAAGACTTCCTCCTCGGGACTTTTCGGTTTGGCTGTGAGCATGCCACGATACCACTGCTTAACACCATCTCCAGCCTCATCGCATACGCACACTAATTGATCGTGCAACAGATCGGAGTAGCGAACGCGATGCTGTTCGCTGCTGTCGCTCATTATCCGTGCAATGCTGCGCTGTACAAATTTGAGATCTTCATTGGGCAGCTGAACCATCAGATCGCCAACATCGTTAACATGCGAGACGAGTACGTGATTCGGCTTCTGTTCCAGCTTCAGCATCGGTGAAGGAGTGTTGCGTATGATCTGATTGGCCACCAAATCGTTCAGATGTATATCCTCCGCAGTCGACGTATCGTAGAACGTGCCAACGATGCAGGCATGTCGCACCAACGACTGACCACAGCCATTTTCTTCAGCGAAAGGCACTTCCCGCTGAGGCAGCAGAACGCCCTGAGCAAGTCCACCAGCTTTGAGAAACTGCGCCTCGCTGGTAATGATACGAGTGACAACGCTATGCCCGGCCAGCTCCTTTGTGAGCACAGGCAGTGCATGTGGATGCTCTTCGAATTTGTCCAGGGCATACATGCTGAGGCACACAGCTTGAGCGGGCAGTGAGAGGAATTTTGATGGACACGCATATAACATATCATAGTTGAAGATCACCTCGTCGCCAAAGTCTACAAAATGGCAGCTGCATTGACGCTGCTCCACGTCCAATGATATAACACGGACACGATTCCAGTTCTCGCTGACCTCGACCACATAAATCTGTTGCTCGACGAGCTGCTGCTGTTGCACTGGCTGACGATTCTGCAGACGCGACATATGCGCATTCAGCTGTTCGGTGAGCTTCTCGAACTGTGCGCTCTGATCAATCAAGCGCGCCCACACATGCGTAGTGTTGTCGCAGTGCGTGATATACATGCTCCAATCCAGCTGGCCATCCGCCCACGGCAGCTGCAGCTCCGGCATTGCCAACGGGCCCGCGTTGCTCTGCTGCAGGACAGTCGGACTGCCCAAGGGCAAGTCAGCGTTTGCAAATACAATGTGCGTATTAACGCTACTCTCGATACGCATCTTGGGAGACAAATTGATCAGAGTCCACCAGTTATTGGGTACCTGGCGCTTAACATTTGCCTGATACCATTCCGGCAGCTTGTGGCTAAGAATGCCATGCGGATGCTTGATCAGCTCAAGGTAGAGGCCATCTAGAAATTCGTTATCGCTTTGAATCGATAATTGTTTGCGCGATTCGAGCAGCTGTAGGCGCTCAACAGCTATCTCAGAGGTGCGTTGCCTAGCTGTCGCCTCGTCGAAATGCGCCTCCGGGTAGCTGGTGAAGATGGTCTCGCCAATGCGCACCTTGCAGTGCAGCAGTTTGCTTTTGCTTGCATTGTACAACTCGTAAGCGGGCGGCGGATAGCCCATCACGACGCAATATTGCTTGAGCGAGGAGATCGCATCGTATGCGGGATCAAATTTAAAGTGGACATCGGGTCGTAATGGCTGAATCTGTGTTTATACAATCATAGACTTGTTAGAGATCGGCCCGTTTGAACTCACAGCACTTACCTGAACAAGCGGTTGCTTCACATTGAAATCCACATGATTATTTGCTGTGGCTGGAGTTGGAGATGGATTCTTGTTGCTGGCTGCATTCTCTGGCGAGTCTGGGGGAGTTATAAGCTCAACGGCTGCTGAAGAAGGCTCTGTTGATGCTGCTGCTGGTTGTGGAACAACTGCCGTTTGCTGTTGTTTCAATCTATAGTTGACAGAGAAGCCGCCAGTGGGACGCGCACCAGGATACTGAACACGTGCATGCATTGGCCTTTTATTGGCGGCAGCAGCAGCAGCGGCGGCAGCAGCAGCAGGTGACACTGCCTCTGTCGATGGCTGCCTCATTGCAGCCGGACGCTGGGAGGCACTGTTGCCCAATATGGGACGCAGATGAGGCTTGCGGGCACTAGCAGCGGCAGATGCGTTGCCGTTCATCTCGGCAGTCGCAGGTGAATTCGGGGGCGTTGGCTCAGCAGACTTGTTTGCTTCTTCTATGAGTTGAAGCTGAGTTTCAGTTTGAGCTTCGGTTTCGACCTGAAGAGACTTGTGCTCCTCTTGTCTTGCTATCAGTTCACGTTGCAGCCGATGATTCAACTCCTGATTTTTCAATTGACGCTTCAGCTCCAGGCGATCCTCCTGCAGCTTCTCAATGGTACGTGCCTGCGCCTTAAGACCGCGTTCGTGCTGTTCCTGCAGCTGTTGAATCTGCCTGTCTATCCTTGCCTGCTGCTGTTGCAATAGCAGTTTTTGCAGTTGCTGCTCCTCGCGCAACTCCGCCTGGCGTCGCTGGATTTCGCGCTCGTGATTCAGCTGTTCTTCCTGTTGCAGACGCAAGCGTTCGAGCTTCTGCACCAGCTCCTTACGCAGGCCCAACAGATCCTGCTGCTGCGATTGTTTGCCCTTTTGGTGCTGCTGCTGCCGTTGTTGTTGTTGCTGCCGTAATTGTTGTTGCTGCTGTGGTTGTTGTTGCTGCTGTGGTTGTTGCTGTTGTAGTTGTTGCTGTTGTCGTAATTGTTGCTGCTGCTGTTGATGCGGTGCTCGTTGTTGCGAGCTCTGTTGCTTCTGTAGATTATTGGACTGAACACTGCAGATCAGAGGTGGTTTGACATTGCTATTGTGAACGATTGTTGATCGTAAGTTTGGACGCACAAAAGCTGCGGGTGTTCGTAGAAGGCCTTTAGTCTTGCTCGGCTTTTGACAACGCACCATAGAAGCAATGTGCGCCGATTTGGGGTTAGGCTTGGCGGAGACAAAGATCTGTAAGAAGAGCAAATAACATTAGCATCTGATAGCAGGAGTTACTAATAGTTGGTTTAAGTTTATGACGTGAGCAGCAGCAGCACTTTTTGGGTGATTCAACATTGAACGCGCTCGGGACGTGATAAGGGATACAATTGTTTAATGTGAAATTGCGTTCAGCGGTGAAAGCTGTCATTAAACAAATAATTGGTTAATTAGTCACTCGATGTGCATATTTTTTTCTGCATAAAACAAATGGAAACAGTTGCTGATTTTATAGAGAAAAACTTCAATAGATAAAGATTTACTATATATAACTGCGGAGACATACGAAGGCAATTATCGTTTATTTAAATTGTTTTGTAATTTTATTTTGTTACAATGTTGCCATCTGCACATTTATGCATTATTGATTCGACTTTGCATTGGCATTTTCTTGTTTCCTTTTATTTTTATAGAAACAACCCACAGACGACTCAACTTATCCAGCAACCACCCACTGGCCGTCAATCGCTTGACTGCAAATCAGGCCAGGTAAGTGGGGGGAGCTTCGGTGGCAGAAACATGAGAGCGTCAGTTAACTGGAAGCGGAGGCAATGCACGAAGGCGGCATCCTGATAAGCACAGCAACAACAACAACGGCATTGATCACAGAATAAACGAGTGTCGATTGACATTTAAACAATAAGGAGGCACAGTGCACAAATGCCTGCATATATAAATAAATTAAGACAAGAATGGGCAACAAGCAAATGAAAAAGAAAAATTAAAATGCAATGCGATGCGCCTTCCCGCTTCCTCTTGTTGTCGGGCAGCAGCAACGTTTGATTACTTTCACCAAGCATGCAAAACGAAACACACACGAGCGCACACACACACACACACATAAACTGGGAGAGAATGAGAGCAAAAAGACGAATAGCCAAAAAGTTTAAATTGGCTGTCATTTTTTTTTTTGTGTTTCGCTTTGCACATAACGTATGCATAATTGTTGGCATTTTATTTATTTTTATGTGTGTGTGAGTGAGTGCGCTGCATTTAGAAAACTGCTTAATCAGCACAGTAGCAAACGTATAGAAAGGCTGAAATAATAAACAAGTAACATTGTTTACACTTTTGACGAGCGACGCTACATTGACACGTTGTTTCTTTGTGGCAAGCCAAGCCCCGTACAGCACACGAACACACACACACACGCAGAGACGCTAGCTAACAGCACCGTTCGCTTTGACGCAACGCAACTTACTGAGATACAAATGAGCGCTAATGCGAGCAGGCGCTGCCGAAAGCTCAATCGCTGCTCTCAAAAGCTACGTATTTCATACGGAACGATAGAGGCAGAGAGCCAGAGAGCAAGTAAGCATGTGAGCCAGTGAGAGTTTCGCGCATTGTGGGAGGTCGCCACCTCTTCTTCACTCACTTGAGTTCCAATTTTTTGGAAAATGAATGCATTTGTCTTCTCCAATAATTCGATGGTATTTCGATAGCCAAGACTGCGATAAGGGATTGGTCCATGTTCCACTTTCATGTAGTCCCTCTCTATCGTTTGCAAGCTGACCGGCGGCTTAATTGAAGTTATTAACGAGCGCACCACAATAGTGATATCCTTCAACATTTCTTCGTGCTCCGAAGACATTGTGACTGCAAAGAGATTAAAGCAAAAATAATATCAATATGCACTCATACTCATACACAGTGCATGTGTGTACATGCCAATCAGGTAATCAAACATGATAAAGCACTGTGAAATGCCAACCAACCCCACCCACAACAACAAAAATGCGTGCCAAACGATATTCGCGAAAACTAATTTGGGCACAATGAACGCGACACAGATAATGAAAGCAACAGCTGAGTGCTAGGGAGAGAGCGAAAACGAGAAAACGCGCGAGAGCAAAATCAAAAGCAAGAGTCGTGTAGTGTCGCGGCGGCGCAACGGGATCATTTCTTCCTTTTTTTTGTTCTAATGCGTTCACACAATTCAAATTAAATTATTAAGCAGAAAACTAAGCCGATTTTTCCTGCAACTTTGGATTAGCTGGAAACCATTGTTGAATACATTGCGAGATATTGAGAAGCCTAAGATAGTCCGATTCAAGCTTTGTTTATTTATGCGATTGTTTGTTTGTGTTTGCCAACGTAAACATATTATATTTCTACTTCATTTATTTGCCCGCCATGTTTTTTTTGTGCTGAATTAGGCAAACGCATTGAGTTTCACAGCCCAACGAAATAAAGAAATGAAATATAGTATTTAGACACTTACAGAGTTTATCCAATGTTAAATATATTGCTATATATTATATGCACTTTAGAATAAAGTGAGATGTGTGCACTACTATTAAGGCATACGCACGAAGACGTATGTATAAGCCGGGACAAAATTGAAACGTCTTTGAAAGCTTGCGGTCCCATTAACAGCTGTCAAACTAACCGTATTTTTTCGACACTTCCATCAATTTTCGATTACTATTGATGGCAAAACTGTTATTTACTCGTGAGTAAATTTATATTTATTTCAAATATATTTATATATATATATTTCAATCTACGTATAACTTATTTTTTAATATTTATTAAATTTATTTCTCCAACTGCAACTGAAGTAAATCCGCGCTACTATCGATACTACTGCTATCATCGATAGGTAGTTTTAGAGCTTTTACTTGTGTCTAGTATGGACTATCGCCTCACACGAAATAAATCAGGGTGGCCCCATTGAAAACTAGACTGAGTAATCGAAAAGCGCTTGAAAACGTAAATTTAAAAGTAAGATAAACTCTTTCAAATTGTAAAAAATAGATATTAATTATAAAAATGACATTGTTATTGTAGCTATTGGTAGATTATTCTGATGTAATGCGGTGTCTGGCTCTTTTATATTGCCGCAGGACTCGTTGCAATTTCGTTCTTAAACTTTTCTTTGAGATTGATCCATCTTCTGGTATGTGTGAATTTAAAATCTGTTTGTTTCTCTTTATATTATTGCCTTTGACATTATGCCAATAATTTCTTCTGGATTCTGGAGTTTTCATGAGGTATTCAATTCGTGCAGCTGCCGCCGGAGCTGCTTCGTATCTCGCTCGCTTTATCTTGTCATCTCGTTCTCGCTGCATTTGATGCTCTTCACGCACCTTTTGCTCCAGCTTCTGCTCCTCTTTCATGGCGGTTGCCAAGTTTTCTTCGCTGTTATCATCGCCCGGCGGACTTAACCCGAAGTAGAATCCACGATTGTGCTTAAATGGCGTCGGTGTGGCGGGAATCGTCCTTGGCCTGTCCAAACGCTCCGGCTGCCCAGCAGACGAAGGAGTTGTCTTCCCGCTCGGTGGCCGTTTGCTGCTCGTAGATCTCGCATCTGGCCATCTGTTGCGTATCTCAGTTTCCAATAGATTCAGATTTTTGATAACAAGACACGCGTGTTTTTTCATAGTCTTCAACCGTTTCAGCAGGCGATCGACGGGGCTCATTTGTTGCTGCTGCTGCTGCTGCTTACCTTTCTTCTCGCATGTTGTGCGATCTTTGTTGAAAGGCCTTGAATTCAAGTTCTTCGCTTCATCCATTTGCTCCTGCCTCAGATTCAATTCCATCAAACGATCAAATGCTTGATCTGCAGGCTCCCTTTGAATGTCGATGCGTTTCAGCCTGAGATCTTGATTGTCTTTGTGTCTTGCATCCAGTGGCGGCGACACCAGGAAATCCTGCTCCTGCTGCTGCTGCTCAAACTCCTGCTCGGGGCTATTTTCGCTCAGCCAATGCAAAAGTTTTTCATTTTCCTTGTAGCTCTGTAATCTTGGCCTGAGAGCAGCCGTTCTAACTTGTTCCCTATAGTTAGCTCTTGCCCTATTCCAGAGTTCATTTCTGTTCTGCTGCTCGAACAAATCGTTGGGCTCCCCAGCATCCACATTGTGTGTCTCGGCTGAGGCGTGAGGCTGCATTTGGGATTCAGGGCGGCGTTGCTTCCTGCTGTGAGTATATCCATTATAGTGAGCATTCACTGTACTGCCGGGCAGTGAGTCGTGCGCCACAATTGCCACAATTACCATTAGTATAATTCTCACTCTGTTGTGTATCACATTTGACATTGTTTTCCATACCAAACATTTTGTCGAGGCACACAAGTGCCTTGAGAAGTGCTTTCGACTCAGTGATGCCAATTTAGCCTTTTTTTATGGATAGATGTTGCCGGCTATTGGGCCTTAGGGAATTTATATATCAATCAATCTAACAATCAATCAGTATTTAAGTATATTTTGTCAGTCAATCAATCAATCAGTTTGCCAATCAAGTTAATCAATCAGTTAATTCTTCAGTCAGTCAATCAATCACTCTGTCAATTAAGCTATATATACATACTGAAGCTTACATAAATCCGAGCATGACTAATCTTGGATAGTTCGTTGGTCATCAATCAATCAGTGAATCAATCAATCAGTCAATCATCTGTCATTCATTGAAGTGTCATCAGCATTGTTGCTCAAAGCACTCATAAATTCTATTTTCAAACAACTCGACTAGGTAAATTGTAATATTTGTGTTAACCTTTCTGCCTTAGGGACTTCGTCATTAAACAAGCTCTCAATCAATCAATACTGTTATATATAGATATCTATATATATATATAGATTGCTGTTCAACATATCGCAAAAGCCATTTGTAACCGAGTTGGGGGCCTTGTGTTGGTGACGCAAACATTTGCCACTGCATTGCTGCAAGTACAAAGGCGACTCAACGTTCGTCCATTGGAAGCGCCCTGGAAGCGGATTGGAAGTGTCTAACACTTGATTGGGTGACTCAGCGGCTGTCGCAGCCCGAGCTACAGACAGTCGAATTTTCCACATCAAACGCTGCAGTTGGGCTTCGTCCGAGGGCTTCGTCGTCCTACAGACAAACTAAATACATAATTTAATTCAAAATATATAATATATACTTTGAGTGCCTGTCCAAGGGACAACTCTAGGGATTCGAACTACGTTGTAGTCTGGTGCCAAGTGAGGGCGAAGATTTCGTAGTTTTTTAAATGCCACACAAACGCAAAAGACACAAAAACTGAAAGGATTCCATCGCCCTCTCTAGACAAATTACATATATATCCGTGGAGAAGTTGCATTGTGCCTTAACAAGGAGGATCCATTGTGCCATGACTGTTCCCAATATGCACACCAAAATAATTATATTGATTTTATTTTTCTACAACGGTTCCTACAATTGGAGTAAAAATTTCTAAAGCGACTGAACTCAAACGTTCGATCCTCCCCTTCCTCCACAGGCGGCGTCCGTCTGAGTGGAGTGTGTGTGCGTGCGTGCTTGTGTGTGTGTTTACTAAGTGCCGTTAGTGCCTGTGACTGTGTGCGCGTGTGAAATAAACGGTAAGCTTTTTCTATTACAATCACCTATTATTATACACAAGGCCCCAATACCCAATGGGCCTTCTCACTTCACTGTTTTTCGCTGTTCATATTGATTTTATAATTTCGCCATGAAAAGCGCATTGGCAACAATAACAGCCACCACCTTAACTATGTATAAACAGTCCAAATGGCAGCAGGACTCACAGCAGCAATAACAACAACGGCAGCAGAAGCAGTAAAGTAGACAACAAAGAGATTCCCTTCTCTTTCCCTCTTTTCGTTTGCTATATGCAAGAAAAATGTGCAAAACATCTGTGCTGCCTAGCTTTGGTGACAGTGACGTGCCAAAATAGTGTATACAGCTAGATGGGTAATGGCATTATATCAAAGAATAAAACGTCAAATAGAGCTGCACAAACATGGCAAACGCCATCAGCACTTAACCTTTTTATTTATTTTCAATTTCTAGTAAATATTTATTAAATATTTGGAAAGCTTTATATATTTAAAAATGTATAAGCATTAACACTTGATAGATAGATATGTTTTATAAATTAGTTTTTGGCATATTTTCAAGTAATTTATACTATTACTTAAAAGGAATCGCCCATGTGCATATATTTAGGACGTCACTGTAACGAATCAATGCACTCCCATCGTTCATCGTTCCATTTTCCTTGCCTTTGTTACACACGAAAAACCATATGTATATATTCCATTAAATTCAACTGGAAATTCCAGAGTTCACGAGTCTGCGCACTGCTCATCCTTCAGTACGCAATGTTTTGATAGTAAAAACGAATACGAAACAGAGACGAGGATAAAAGCAGCACCAATACTAACTGCACGCGCTCAAAATTGTTTACAAATAAGCGGAACGCCACGTGGCACGGCACCCAAAACGACGGCCATTGGAACAATGAACATGATTCTGCATACTTGTATGTACATACATATGGTGTGAATGTATTAGTGGGCTCTGTTCTGTTCTGTTCTGTTGGGAATAGAGAATAGAGTGTGTTCCTTACGCACCGGCCGGCTTCAATCTTTAATTTCTTTGGGCCCACGCGCCTTGATGACGTCAGTGGTGCGTCGACATTGAACTACTTACAACGGCACTTGTCACACGTATGCTTCTGTATGTGTGCCTCGTCGAAGGTTGAGCTCAGTGGCCACGCTCATATTTTGTGATGACGTCAAAGTTTTATTTATGGCTTGGACAGTTAATCCAATTTACAACCTATGCTCGAAGACGTTTCAATTTGTTTTCTCACTTTACGACTTTAGCTTCCGGAACATTCGGCGTATGCTTGATGCGTCGATTTCTCGACTATCGTAAATCGTTCGCTCTGAGCTTGAGATGTGAAACCTTAATTAGTTATTTAATTATAAATGAGTATTGGAAGTTTATGCATACTTATGCTAAATATGCCCTCAATTAGTTTGATTTAACGCTCACGCTGTCAGACATATCTAGTACAAGTGTATTTTAAGCTTGTCGAATATCGTATATACAAATTGTATGTGTGTAATTAAAAATTAGGCAGTCGGCATAAACATAAACATGAATGTTTGCAACAATTGTGGCAACAACAATTGCAAAATTTCATTGCCCCAAGGCCACATTGCCAACTGTCTGAGTGCCTAGGGTTTTACAACTTTGCTTGCCGAGAATCTTATTTGCTACGACGCAAAAGCACCTCAACTATATGGCAGCTATATAATATATGTAAATATATTGCAGATGAACGAAAGATCGTGAAGTCTGGGGCAGGATGTTGAGGAATGGAAATAAAGCATTGTTTTTGTTTCGTTTTCATTTCAAATCATTTATAGGGCTGTACAAAGAATAATAGACCGGATAAACTATGCAAATTCATATATTAAATATGTTGACTTATTTAACTGCGGTATTACGCACTAAACACATTTATTTATTTACATTTCGATAAGAGTTTCAACAACAAGATAATAATAAAGTCAATTCCAAAACGTTTTAGTACCATTATGTGCAAGCTCTCATGGAAGTTTCCAACACTTAAATTGCATACCTACATGCATACGTACATACACAAACACAAACAAAAACACAAACATATCACATTGATTTCAACGTTAAATTGATATATATATATATTTATATATAAGCAAATTTTTTGTTTTCTATTCTTTACAGTTACCGGACTCTTGTCTTTTCTCCAATTATCAAATCCCTTTTTGTGTTTACACAACACAAATATATTGACACGATTGCTCGTAGCAAAACAAACCCCACGTTAATCAGTCGCGTCGTTCCTCCTCGTTCCGTCTGCTGGCTTCGAGCCCTGTGGAATTTTTCAAGCTTTTTTGCGTCACATATTGAAATATATACACACGTACATAAGTGCGAATGTGTGCGAATAGAGCGAAAAACAAGAGGGAACCAAAGCAAAATCAAAGGCAGTGAAACTGTGCCAACCCCGTCGCTGTGCCCTCGCCGATATCAAAGACAATAACAATAGCAATTGCGATCGCCCGTCGTCACCCACCCCAAGAAACAGCTAGAACTGTGTATATAAACACGCTCGAATCAGCGAACTGTGTGCATTCAGCATTCGACACCGAAACAATCGTCGCAGAAGAGCTCAATTTTCAGTCGTATTTCGTCGCTTGTTGGCATCGGATCGAACACGGACCAAAACATACGCAGCGCCATCTGTGCGATAAAAGTAGACAACTGCAGGTGCATATATTTTTAACGGTATATGTAGAACCGTATTATAATATAAATATATATCAAGCGGACAGTGTTTAAAAAAATCCACTTCGATGTCGATTAATTCGCCAATATTGTTAAAAAACTCTGACCTGCATTGAACAGGCAAAAGCGACAAATAGAAAAAAAAAAACATTGAGTAAAGTTTAATTTCCAAAGCGAATATAAGAACAGAAGGATAAGGAGGAAAAGATACTTCTTAAAACTTTGAATTCAATTTAGCAAATCAACAATAAGTTGTTTGCTTTTTAGTTCACGTTACGTTATTTTTTAATTTCCTTGTGTTTTCGATCGAATAAATAAAAAAAATAAGAAAGCAAACAAAGTGCAAACAGTTTGAGAACAACTGCGAACAGTAATCGGCAAACGTCAACTTGAGTTATTCGATACTTTCAATCAAACGGAAAACAAAAACTCGCGTGTGCAGTGTAAAACATTAACAAGAAAAACAACAGCAGCGCAAAATCACTACACAACAAAACAAGTTTGTTTATTGGGCTTAGGCCATTGTATGGGTAAGCTTTTAACCGATTATTCTATATTTATACATAACTGTATATATGCCACAGAATTTAGTAAAGGCAGAACTATAGTTTAAGAATACTTTTTCAATTTAAGTTTAATGCAACAGTTTAGTATACATTGATAGGCGTTGTTTGCCTAGCAACAAGTGGTGGAGGGAACTAAATAATTTTTAGATCCAAATAGACTGTTTTATTTTTAGACCTGCATTTTATTTAGAATCACTTGCGGTGGAAGCAGATAGCCTTCTTATGCCTAACAACAGGTGGAGCCAAACAGTATTTAGATCAGACACTTAAGTACATTTTTTAGTGCAGAACGCAGCTCAGCTTATTAGAAATGAAATGATTCATATGCCTGAGTAAAAGGGCGTTAATTCGTAAAATTGCAGTTACATGACTCACAACCAGATTTTTCATGACAAACAAAGCAATATTATGACGCAATATTTATTGTTAATTAAAATTGAAATAACTACAGTCTGGAAACCTTGAAATGAATTAGTTAAATTGTGCATGGCGTTGGGTTCGTGGCAGTTCACGTTTGCCAGCCTCAAGTATGCGGAGCACTTGAGCACATGAGCCAGACACGTGCCTGCTCCCCTATGTTCCATCGCCCCACCACCCCACCGTCCCTCGTTGCTCGACTGACCATTATCCGGTGCTTCACCGCCGAGCTTCCATCTGCTCTATTTTATTTTTATGAACCCAGCAACTAATCAGCCAGACTTTATCAGCACTTGAGGCTAATTCCATATAACTACGCGTGACTTTCATTCATACACATTATAGATGTATATATATGCACGTCTCTGCCTACAAAGTAATGTGTGCCCAAGTCAAATAACAAGTTAGTTGGACGGCCCGTCTCGTCTCTCCTGATTAACCTTGAGTTGTTTATTAGCCCTCGCAGATTTTCAATTGCGTTGCATAAGCAAAAAGTGCATAACAAGCGAAGGAGCTCGAATCATTGCTGAGATTAAGCGTCTAGACTAGACCTTTGCTAGTAAAAAAAAAGCAGTAGATTTTGTACAAAAGGTAGTATATTGAAGTGCTAGATTTTATAAAAAAGGTAGTGAAATAGTAAAAGAGTAGTAAAAGGTAGTAAGAAAAAGTAGTAGAAGATTTTGTAAAAAAGATAGTAAGATAAAAAAAGATAGTGTTCAAAAGAGTAGTAAGACAAAGTAGTAAAAGATCTTATACAAAAGAAGCCTAAAAGAACGAAAAACATAACTATATTGAGTGAATTTATATATTTGGTATAGAAAAATAAATAGCCGAAGAACAAGAATTGATGAATTAACAATAGACTAACACAATATGCATTTATATAACTGAATCGATAACTTATCGGTCAAGCCTGATACAGGCAATTGATAAGCTTTCTAACATTAGAGTTCAAACAATATCAAGTTAAAGAGGAAATGAGATATGCAATGAAATTGATAAAGAATTGATAAGAAATCGATAATTATCGTTAGTTATAATAATAATAATAGTAGATAAGATAGCCATAAAAGTTGTTAAACTAATCGGACCTTTGTTCGCCCTAACAGATCAGTCTAAACTAACAACGAAATTTGGAGACGAGCCGGACCTCCTGTTCAACCGAGCGCAGGGCCGGAATAGTCTGCTGAATAGTCTTGGAGCCAGCACTGCGATTGCCGCAGCCGCCCAAGCATCACTCAACATTCAACTAGAAGCAACATTCAATGACTGTGAAAGTGGCTACGTGCCCACCGTGGGCCGTTGGGGTGCCGAATGGCCGAGCTGACTCGCCGCTGTATCCAGCGGCCATGGCCAAGGCCAGGATGGAGCAGCAGCGACGCCCAGCTACGCCGCCATCATCAATGTCGACGCTGATGATGTCGCCGATGGCAGCTTTGGAGGCGTTGCAGCTGGAGGATGCTCCACGGAGCAGCAGCTGGCGGATGCGATGCGTGGCATGGGATTGACTACGACAGTCAACGGTGTCAACAATGAGCAAGCTGAGAAGCCAAGCAGTTGCGCATCCACGCGAACCACGCCTCTGCGTACGCCCTCCACATCGAGCGAGGACGATGACGAAGAAGATGTTGAGGAGCAGCAGCAGCGGCATCAGCAGTGGACGCCAACCGACCTGACATCGGTGGGTGCCCCATCGGAGCGTTACTCCGACATCATCCGGGTGCTATCCAGGCAGAAGTCACCAACTGGACAGCAGCAGCAGCACCCAGGCGCCAACTGGGCCATGGCAGATGGCTACGATCTGTCTGCCTACAATCAGATCAACGGTGTCTGGCCATTGGGTCATCCCTTGCCGCTGCCCGACTGGGGCAGTGCCGATGAGCCGGCCAAGGATACATTAGTTTTCGAGAACGTCTGGCAATACGAGGAGCTGAATGGCATTGTGGAGACGGCGCTGCAGCGCATGCTGGAGGAGACCCACTACAATACGGTCAATCTCTTTGTGGACTTCTATCGCAGCTTCAAGCGCACGCGTCGCTCCGATCTGCGCAGCTTCTTCCAGTTCTACGATGTGCCCATCAATCGTCGCCATCACATGTGCGTCTCCCTGGCCTTTGAGATCATAGCGCGCTTGGTGCAGATGTTCCCCCAGCTGGGTCAGTATCTCTGCGTGGTGTCCTGCGAGGAGCAGGTGGTCGACTGCAATGACTACGTGCAAATGGATGAGGAGTACGGCATGAACTCAGCGGATGCGGGTGTTGAGAAGGAGCACGTTATGGTTGCCATGCGTTTTGCCATCGGTGAGCGTCGCGGCGTTATGATACTTGATCCGGGCTACCATGTGGGACGCGCTGTGACCATCATGTGTGATCAGAGCTATCCACACACAGGTAAGCACACACACACACACACTCTCTCTCTATGAACTATGTCAAATTTGTCTCTCTATTTCTCTCCTCAGGCTGGTTCAATCAGTCGAAGGAGCCGCATTTGCAGCGCGACTATTGCTATAGCTTTAGCCAGCACAGCGAGAAGTTTGTGGAGTGGAAGGAGCGCGAGATACGCGGCGATGAGGCCAGCTTCAAGACATCTTTGATATACATCGCACAGGAATATATAACCGCTGTGGATGTAACTGTGCGCCGTAATTTGGTTTACAATTTCCGTTCGCTGCTGTCGCGCGACGCCAAGGGCCGTGTCTATGCGGGACTCTATTTCCCACTGGTGGCCAATGTACAGGAAGCGCATCTGACGCTCTTCTATGATGGACCCAATGAGCAGCGCGTTAAAGCCAAACTTATGTTTAGCGCCTTTAAGGTCGGCAAGGGCAAGGTGAGTGGCTGGCTCGAGTTAATATAAAACAAACTTTTAATCTATTTCAATCTCTGTATGTTCAGCAACTGCCGGATTATGTGTCGCAGCATCTGATGAAGCTATCGCCACAGTTGAATATGTCGCAGCATGAGCTGACGGAGCTATGCAAATCCCTGTGCGAAGTAGTTTCCGATCAAAATTTTATCGGCCAAGTTTTGGCCATTAACGATGATATTGGAGTCATGTCAATGGAGAATTGACAGTCAAAGCAGCCTAAGAGTGTTGCTGCATCGCCTGTGAAGCATCAGGATGAAGCAGTAGCTGCAACTTAGACTTGAATTTCAAAAATTTCCAATACGTTTTTTCCCTTTCAAAACAAAAAGTTTTTTTCTAGACTTTAGGCGCACCAACAAAACTATATTTCAAGATTTAGTAATATATATATTTATGTATAAAGAATATATACAATTATTATAGACACCCACACTCACACACATACCGAAAACACTTTTGAAATCCTTGTATTATTTAGTAAATCAAAACTTTATTACAAATTACAAATTGTAAGTATATATATAATTAGAATTTCTTGTTTTTGTGCTTAGCTTCTTTTTGATTTTAAATTTGTTCTACTTACATATAATATATACAAATTTAAACTATACAAATAACATTAGTTGACATAAAACTTTTGTTAAATGCACTGTAATACTTTTTGTTTAATAAATAAATGCAAAACAGCTAGATAAAATAAAAAGTTTTATTGCTTAAGCTGAGCAGTTGGTATTTTGTAACGTAAACGGAAAATGCTATGTTTAGTATTTTTAAATAAAAACAACATTTTGGAGCTTGAGGCGCACGGTCACACCAAAAGCCGGTAATTTAACAGCTGTTCAGCTTAATTTTTTTTTATTACAAATTAAGATATTTAGTCAGCTTAACGCGGCACATTTAAGGTTTTATGTAATATAATTATCGAATTATTTACTGTTAAAGCTTGAAGTACGTCAATAGCTAACAATTGTGAAGTGACATTTATTATAAGAGGTAAGCTTATTGTTGTACAGCTAACTTGCCGGCGTCAACACCTGTTGTTCGGCGTCGTTGGCCAGCAACAAAAACACAATTGAAAATTAAATTCAGGTTCTAAACTGAAAACGAGCGCGCGAAACTTTAACGTTTTAGTTGTCGTTTGAATTTCCAGCGGTGCGGTTGTGTTTTATTTTGAGAACCGGTTTGGCCATACTAAATTGAATTGGAAACGTGACGTGCTGCGTCGTACGCAAACACAATTTGAAACTGTTTACCCATTTAAGTGAATAAAGTTTTTGTCAAATATTAGCATAGGCCAAGGGCTGTCGACACACGCGAGTGCATAGAAATCGCATCAGCATACATACATTTAATTGCAGTAAGTATGCACATATATATATACATATATATATTATATATAAATGTATATTGTAGTAAATGCAAGGTCTTGTGCACTTGTGCGCAGCAACAAAAGAAATAGAAAGTTAACAAATGCAGGCAGATACTTTTTTTTGTTGACGGAAGTCGAAGAAGTCGGCCTCTGCCCAGTGTTGACAGCGCAAAAAGTCACACAAGCGCACACACACACACACACACATATGCACATGCACACAGTCATACACACACACACACCCACACACACACATGAAACTATTTTGTGAGCTATGTTTGGCGGCTCTCTTCGCACCTTTGTAGCTACCCATTAGAGTAACGTTTTTTTCTATTTTTTTCATATGTTTGCTTTTCTACCATGAGTCTATGTTTTTTTTTATATTATTTTCGAAGCTATTGGCCCATTCTTTGGCTCTTCAACTTTCATTCCTTTGCTTTTGGCTCTCTTTCTTTAATTTGCATTTTATGTGTCGCCGTCGTCGCTATCGTTGTTTTTTAGAAAACCAACTGCTAACTGGGCCATAATTTCAGAGCTCTGGCTGATACTCATAATACAATGATTATTTTAAATAGCCGTGAAACCCTCCGAACTCAGAGTTGAGCAATTAAGTTTAACACTAATTGGCAACGAAGTGAAAAAAAAACACTTGATCCAAAGTGCACTACTGAAATAAATATCTATATAAAATATACATATATGAATGCAAGCATAGTAGTGCTGTAAGTAGGTACGGGCGGCAAACAAAAGTAGTGAGAAAAATTATATAAAAATATATATATGTATTTGTTGCTGACTCAAGTCGCTGCAGGCAAATAATTGCTGCTCAGAGATATTTCTCTATATATGAATATTTATTATATCTGTAAGCTGGAAGTGAATATTTATAATGTTACTTGGTCTAATCAGGGTCTGCTCGGCGATCTTTGCCCCCAGCCGCTTACTAACACAACTTGACTCAGCAACATTTATTCCTTATCTTCCACAGACACAAAACCCACACACAATAGAATTGCGCAACATGTTGCTCTGGCTGCTTATCTTTGTGGCGCTGCTGTGCGGCTTTATGTTCACCAAGACAACTAAGGGCATACCCAAGTCCTGGTTCGAGTGGAAGACTGAGTTTCGCTATCAGTATGTAGGCATTGTCGGACTCATTCACGATGCACAATACGCCTCCAGGGATCGTGTGGGTGTGTATATACAATTAGCTAAAGCTGTTCATGCAATTACAATCGATTAGCAACCTGTTTATCTGTATTTTTTCTCTTTTCAGCACTTTACAAGCAACCGGATCGTATTGCTGTCATCACGGGCGGCAATCGCGGCATTGGCCTGCGCATTGTTGAGAAATTGTTGGCATGCGATATGACAGTTATAATGGGTGAGTGAATGAATCTTCGTACTTGACCAATTGAACTCCGTTTGATGGCGCTGCCTGGCAGCAGCTATATAAATTAGCGCAGCCAATTTGTTATTCAGCCAACACACATGACACGATAGTAGAAAAAAAAATTTGGCCAAAGCGTGCATTGCCTAAGCAATTTGAGCGAAGACATTAGAGACGAACCCACACACTTACAGTTCACACTCACAGCATGTTGCTAGTTAAACATGTTGCAGCAAACATGCATATGCAAAGATTGCAGTGCTTTGGGCACACTGGGCACACTTGGGCACTACCTTTTCGTATTACATAAAGGATATTTTTCCATGAAGACAGAACTTTAGAACCTATAAAGTTTCGCCAACAAAGTCCATGTTGCCAGATCAGCAAACACGTTGCCTCAACAAAAAATAACACCCAAAACATAAATTAACATTTTGTTCATTTAATTGTGATTTATACAAAACAAATATATGATAAATAATTAAATGAGAATATTTACATATTAAATGGAACCCGATAACGGTGTGTTATATATGTAAACCAAAACAAAAACAATATTATAAAACTAAAAATACTTAATGTCAGCGCGTGAATTGCATGACTAATAAGATCATATAAATCAAAACTGTGTGTTTCTTATATTCTCCAGCCACACACACACAAAGTCAGCTGAAGTCCACTTGCTGCTAAGCAATGTTGCTAGAAGTGTAAAATGTTGCTAGCGACCAACATGTTGTCATTCCCACATGTTTGCTGGGGAAATTATTGCATACTCTTAGGCATAATAAAAAACACCTCACATGAAGTAGGGGGATATTTTGTTATAGTGGTATTTAGTGAGGAATTTTTAGCCCGCGCTGTATTTAAAAATATTAAAAAGCGTTAGAAATTAAATTCGATTGTGATGTTAATTAAATATTAATTGAAATTCATATTTGCTGTCACAGACGTTTCAATTGGCCCCAAAACAGTAAATCTTGAAAATAAATTGTTTAAATTTGTGGATAATTATTTTTATAATTCTCTTTTGCAGGCGTACGAGATCCGAGCAGTGCCGAAACCGCCGTTGGTGGCATTGTCGATCTCAGCCAGACGAAAGGCAAACTTATTTGCGAACAGCTCGATGTAGGGGATATGAAGTCGGTGCGAGCCTTTGCCCAGAAAATTTCGCAGAAATATCCCAAAGTTGATTTGCTGCTAAACAATGCGGGCATTATGTTTGCGCCGTTCAAGCTGACTGCCGATGACTACGAGTCGCACTTTGCCATCAATTACCTGGGCCACTTCATGCTCACCCACCTGCTGCTGCCCAAGCTGCGAGCAGCGGGTCAGGCGGGCAGGAACGCGCGCATTGTGAACGTCAGCTCTTGCGTGAATCTCATTGGCCGCATCAACTACAAGGACCTCAATGGACTGTAAGTGAAGGAAGGCATCTATTTGCTCTTTCCCTGCTCACATTCAGAATGTTTCTCTCCTTTCTGACAGCAAAAACTATTATCCCGGCACTGCATACAGCCAGTCGAAGCTGGCGCAGATTCTGTTCACGCGCCACCTGCAAACGGTGCTGGATGCGGAAAAGGCTCATGTGCAGGTGAACGTGGTGCATCCGGGCATTGTGGACACGGATCTGTTTGAGCACTCGGCCACGACGGCAGTTCCATTCTTCAAGAAGATGTTCTTCAAGACGCCGGAGCGAGGCGCCCGCACCGTCGTCTTCGCTGCCATAGATCCATCCATCGAGGGCCAGGGAGGCACCTATCTGAGCAACGGCGGCAAGGGACCCTTCCATGCGGACGCCAAGCAGCCGGCCAAGTGCGAGAAGCTCTTCGAGCACTCCTGCTCACTGCTGAAGATCAAGCAGTACGGCAACGGCGAATACCCACTCTAATAGACGCAGCTAATTTTGAAATTTTCTAACATTCCCCAACTGGTGCAACGTAATTTTCTTCTTAATATCGTCTTTTATTAAAATAACACAATTTGTATAGCTAAAATGTTTTTGTTTTTGCGTGCCTTCACTTAAAGCCGGATAATGCCGGATAAATGTGGATAACAAGTTATAGCTCAAAATGTATTCGAAATCAATTACGAATTGTTTCCAAATAAATATGTCACGCTACTCAGAACATTCGCTCCGCACTGAAATCTAACCGAATGCATGAAGATACTCAAGCCAACAACATATTTCTATGGATTATATTTTAATTAACTTGTCTGCGTTGATTGCCATCAGCAGCAGACCCAAAAGTGCAATTAAAAAAGTGCAGCAATAGCAGCAGCCGCAGCAGCAGCAAATCCACTTCGATACTTCGCGGCGGCAGCTTAAAAGACGTCGTTACTGCAACAGCAACTGCAGCAACTGCAGCAACTGCAACAACAGCAACAACTTCGTCATCAACTATTATTTATATGTCAAATTTACAAACAATTTAATTTGTGCTCCTCCTCAAACAATGAGCGATTAACATTCAACATTTATGCGGAATTTTAATCGACTTGCGTGCAGAGTGGAGACTGCAGACTGGAGAGTGAAGAGTGAAGAGTCAAGAGGCGTGCATCCAGCTAGGTGGCCAGATGGGTGGATCAATCCAGCGAAATGGCAACGACAATTCCAGTCAGCTTGCCTAGGTATTTGCAGCGTGCCAATGGCCTAATACCCTCTAAAGACTTTGTCTTATATGAGTGGCGACGATATATGACATGATATGGAACTGCTATATCTCCCTATTGAATGCTCTTTTAAGATAACGATTCTATATGAAAATTTAATTTGCAAACAATAATTCTTAAAGAACCTAATCTCTGATATGATCTGATATCTGATATATCATTTCATATATGAAAATTTGTCATATGATATGAGAATGTTATGGGATGATCTGAGATGTTATGCTGGCTCTTAATCTCTCTGTTGTATATCTTTAAAGCCATTCACTGCCCACCAAGGGCAATGCTTGTAGCAGATATATGTTATATAACATATATATGACATGATATGATATATGACAGAATATTATATGACATATTAAACAATGCTGCTGATCATGTGCATAGAGACGTCTCCTTCCATTTGACATTATTATAATACCCTCTTAGAGGGTGTTAGACTTCAGTTGGCTTGTCACTTGAGTTGCTTTTTGAACTTCGTGGCGGCGTCTCGGCATATTGAAGTCTCTTCTATGCCGTCACAGCTACGAGACAAAAACATATCAATGTCGACTGTCGAATGTTGAATGCTGAATGCTGAATGCTGAAATGTGTGAAGCTGCCGTCGTATACAATTTTTTTTTTTATCATTTTCGTGGGCGCAGTCATCAATCAAGAGCGTCTCCCAGGCCCCAATGAAGTCATCTGCGCCAATGTGGGATCTCGCTGCGTGCGTGTTTAGCGGACATTAAGAGTGTTGATTGGATTGGATTTGGGCTACGGCTTGAGCTGCTGATGGATGCCTGCATTGGGGCTGTATATTAAAAGAAACTAAAAAAGATAACCAGATATCATCTGCAATGGTATGTAACAGATTTATTATGTACATTAAGGTAACAGCCAAAACTAAATCCGTCGGGAGTGAACGACTGGCAGATACTTTAACCTTACTACTAAGTTTGTTATGAGCTACTTTATCCCTACTACTAAGATACTGCTACTCAATACGTGTGTCAAATGTTTCAGCTATCGAAACATGTTCTTTAACTGAGAAGCTAGAAATAAAATTTGAAAAAATCTAGCCTAAATAATCTTAAGAAACTTACTAAAATCATGGATGGTTAATAATACGAGAGATGTTAAGATATATATAGAAAAGCTTAGATTGTGTACAATATTTAGGAATATATTTTCAATAGCTAGCGGCAGTCAGCTCGTTTGCCATTATACCTCATTCAGCTTTAGTTGGGGTATCAAATATTTGTTAAATAGCAGCTATGAATGACTCATGGGCAACAGGAAGAAGAAGACACCTTGAAGTGCATTAAACTACTTTTGGTGTTTTATAGGCTAGCGCCTTGGCTAGCTAATGTGCTGCTTAACGTGTTTTACTAATGTGCAGCATATTAATTTATTATTGTTATAATTATAATTATTATTAAACTACTTAGTTTTGCTATTGAAGCTAGAGACTTTAAGCTTAGAATATATCTATATTTGTACTCTTATATGAGCGTATGTTCATGAATATAATTGGAGATATATTCTGGCTACAGCGACGGCTACAAATATTGAAAGTATAAATTATTTGATTCAGATTATGAATAAATTATAAATATAAAATTTGAAGAAGGAAATGATAAAGATTTAATTTTGCATTCAAATTTACTTTTTTGTCTTCTATATCTATCTATATATATCATATTAGCTTTGTAAATTTTGCAGAGGTCAGGAAGTTGCTGACTATTAGTTATTGAGAAATTAACAAAGAAGTCGATAGCCAAGTGAGCTGAGCTGAGAGTGAGAAGAGACAGAGAGTGATGGGGAGGAGAGAGAGATGTTAGAACCGAGAGGCTCTTCTAATAGCTATGCATACAATCTGCTCACATTAAACTCTGATTACTAATAATTAAAAAAAAAACTAAATTTACTAGACATAATTTATATATATTAATTTATATTAATTTAATTTATATATTATATATAATATATTAACATACATATATCAATCAATATAGTCTCTTAAACAGAGGTCAATGAATATACCTAAAAATAAGCCAAGACATGTTTGAGCTGCTCTCCAGCTGCTGCGCTCCAATCTGGAGAGGTCTTCAGCTTAGCTCTGTGAAAAAGCTGTGATGCATAGCTCCGTTTTGGTTAATTGTTAATTCATGTGGCAATAGCGCAATAAAGCACACGCTTCATTCCTGGTCGTCGGCGTGCCATTAATTCTCCAGAGTTTCTACATAGCTCGCATTGCCCATCTGCTTGACCATCTCTGTGGGGGCTACTACGCCACCCGCCTCCCTCGCACTCGCTTGAGTTAATGTGCTTTTTATTTAAATTTTGCGGCGTGAAAAACATTTTTGTTGCATTTACCTGGCGGCAAATTCTTTGCAACAATTTGCTGCTCCAATTAAAGCCTTCAGCAGCAGCCGCAGTGGCTGCAGCTCAGCTCCAGCTCCGTCCGAACATCTTCTAGCCAAGCGCGTCCACATTAATCATGTGCTGAGATTTATGGCGACGCTGCGCCCACGCCGCAGCCGAACACGCAGCACGTGTTCATTCCATTCCATTCCATTCCATTTCGTTCCATTTGCATTTGCACTGTGCATGTGGGCGAATCGGCCTACCCTCCTAATCTTCTATCACTGCGCAACGCCCACCCCCTTTTGTGTGCTCATTGTTGCAAGTGGCAAGTTGCAGGTTGCAGGTTGCAGGTTGCAAGTTGCCAACTCGTTAACAGTTAGAAGCGTGTAGAAATTAAATTTATTGAGCAACCTGGCCTGTTGCACACCTGTAATTGAATAGAAATTGCGCTGCTTGCTGGTGGGTGGTGCTGGTGGGCGGGGGCAGCCAGAGCTGCAACTAAAGTTTAGCCATTCAGATTGACTCTAAGAGACTGAGACCTAAGAAACATACTGAAATAAACGACTTATCCATGTTCGCATAGAAAATTAGAGATTTTATATTGGGAATATAACTTTATGTAGGCTCTATTCTTCCTGATAGTTCACAAATATAGAATAATACATATTATTATATATTTTTTATTATATTAACTTATATCACTTTTTTATATGTATTTTTCATATATATATATTTTTTTTATTTATATATATATTCATGTATTTTTCATATATATATTTTTTACTTATTTATATATATTTTTTTTTCATATTTTTTACATGTATTTTTTATATATATTTCTTGTTTATTTATATATATTTTTAATATTTGTTCTAAATTTTTATTCGAATTTTTTATTTTATTTATTTTAATATTGCTTCTATTCTTACATTATATATACATCTATTTTTTACTCTTAATAGTTTTTAATGTAATTATTTATAAATTTTTATATACCTTTATCTTACATTCTTTTATATTTATTTTTTTCATATATATTTTTTTTTATATATATATCTTGTATATATATAATTTGTATATAATTTTTTTTATATATTTTTTGTTTTGTTTTATTTTTGTATATATTTATATAAACTTTATTAAAAAATAGTTTTTAAATCTTTTAATTTTAATATATAATATTTTACTCATTTTTCTATAGATTCGTAATTTTTTTTAACTGCAGACTAAAATTGAAAAAAGCCTCAAATTGATTTAGGCATTTCAACATTTTCTTTAGTAATTTACTGCACGTTTTAAGTTCAAGAATTACATTGTGGAAATAGGCATCGCAGCTAGCTATAATGTTTACAACAAATACTTGCAAATACAAATACTTAAGTTTTATGAATGCTGCAAAGACAACTTTCTCAGTCAAGTCGAGTTGAGTTTAGTTGAGTTGAGTTGACTTGAGTTGGGCTCAGTTCCGTTTAGAAACGAGATGTCAAAGGCACATGGCCAACAAGATGCACACAAGATACCCAAAAGCTCATTGGTGCTAACTTGCCAGAAGACACATGTTGCACATACTTAGTCCATTGCAGTTGCTTTTGTTTTTCTTTATAGTTTTTTTAGTTTTTTATATTTATTTGTGGCTGCTGATGAGTTTATTAAACTTGCAACGCGTCGAGTGTTTTAATTACAGCCGCATCCGCTTGAGCGACGAGAGACATCCGCAACTGAACCGAAGTGTGCATTACAAGTGACCACGACTAGTAGTAGACGTATCTGACAGATACTTTTGTATCTCAGCCATGTGAGTGTGTGTGTTGTTTGATTTACGCGCAGCCATTAGCCAAAAGTAGCCGCCGCATCTGCTGCCTGTCGCAAATGTCAAAAGGTTAATTGGATTGTGGCAGCAAGCGCAGTTAGCAGCAGCCGATAAGAATTTGCTCAGCGCTGGAAAGACACTTCGAAAAGTAAACAACCTAAATGGAATGTGAATGTGTTTGTTTAAAAGGCACACTTGAGTTGAGCTAATTAAATGATATTGAACTCGAGTTGGGCTGCGTCTAGGGGATTAGACTTTATTACTTATGGCTGAACAAGAGGCGATTAAAGTGGAATAGCTTGAGATGAAATGGTAGAGAATATA